CACCCAGGCTTTCCAGTGACTCCATCTCCCCAAAGCACCTTTTAGCATATATGATCCTGACACCCCCAACAGAAATCTTGTGCAAGGTCATTTTCATCAAACACACGAACACACACACACACACACACACACACACACACACACACACACACACACACACCAGAGCTGCTCTAAGGGCTGGCAGAGAAAATATTTCTAGTGTATGGCCATACCACCTTGAATCTCATCTGATCTCTGAAGCTAAGCAGGGTCCAGCCTGGTTAGTACCTGGATGGGAGAAAACACATTTCTAACCAAGCAATTAGATTTTTTAACCTGTATTTTATTTTTTTAAAGTTCTGTATCAATAATTTATACACATTTACTATTTTTCTTTTGTTTTAACTTGCTTTTTGAGTCAGGGTCTCAAGTATCCCAGGCTGTCCTCCAATTAGCTATAATACACCATAAGATGACCTTGGGTTCTTCATTTTCCTCACCACCTCCCAAGTATTGGGATTGCAGGTGTACACCACCACCCCAGCTTACATGCACTATTTCTTGATTTCTCATTCTTCAATAAAGGATGAGTTGCTAAGCTCTTGGCTTGTGACCATCCCCACCGTTCAGACCTGCATAGTCGTTTTCTCACACATTCATCCACCTCATGCTAACACACTGAGATCCTGGGTAAACATCTCACGTATACCTTATTAAAAGCCCCTCATATAGTAAACTATTTTCTTGGCATGAAAAGAGCTTTGTTTTCTTTGGAGTTGTCCTTCGTTCACGCCATCCCTACTCCCCAGTGCTGGGGACTGAAAATGTTCAGCATACATTCTACCCCTGAGCTATATTCTCAACATAGTTAATTAACAAAACAATCCAATTGGGAGGGGGCTGGATGTGGTTGTACCTCCCTTTGATCCCAGCACATACGAGTAAACATATCTCTGTGAATTTTGAGGCCAGCCTGGTGGCCTACACAGCAAGTTCTGAGTTTTGAGTTAGATGGTGAGATCCTAATCTACAGGGAGATGGCTTGAGGGGAAGGGACGTGCTGTCACGATGCCCCAAGTTCAATCCCTGGGACTCACACTGACGGAGGAAAGAAATGATTCCCACACGCTGTTTTCTCACCTCCGCAGGTGCTGTGGTGTGTGAGGGGGTACAAACACACACTCAAAATAAACACAGGTAAAACTTTTCAAAGGTTTTACACAAGCCGGGTGGTGGCGGCGGCGCATGTCTTTAATCCCAGCACTCGTGAGGTAGAGGCAGGCGGATCTCTGTGAGTTCGAGGCCAGCCTGTGCTACAGAGCGAGTTCCAGGACAGGCTCCAAAACTATACAGAGAAATGCTATCTCAAAAAAAAAATGTTTTATACATTTATCTGTTCACCTCCCCTCTCGTGTGTGTGTGTGTGTGTGTGTGTGTGTGTGTGTGTGTGTGTGTGTGTGTGTGTGTAGTGAGTGCACTGTCCACTTTTGAGGGTGGACTCTCTCCTTTTACTGTGTGGGTTCCAGGTGATCAGGCTTGGTGAGCCAGCTTAATGGCTTGATTTCAATTACTTTTGAACTGATAGATAAAGATATAAACTATACAATCATCATCCACATTCATCTTTTCCTTTTTAATGTGCAATTTTTCTATGTATTTCTCACTTAAATAACTTCAAATACTCAGAAGTCTAAAAAGGTCTAAATCTCCTTTCAGTACGCCCAGGTTCAGCAGTATTCAGAAACCAAGCAGTGACAGAAGACCCTGCCCCAAGATCTGACCTGCTGGTAGCAGTACCAACTGCCCACCTGGGGTGCGGCTGCCACCTGCAAATTTCCCTTCACCTAGACCAGCGGTAGAGACAGCAGATGTCAGACAGCCTACATATAGATGTTCACATTACGATTCATAAAAGTAGCAAAATTACAGTTAGGAAGTAGCAATGAAATCATCTTATGGTTGAGGGTCACCAAAACATGCGGAACTGTATTAAAGGGTTGCAGCATTAGGAAGGTTGAGAACCACGGACCAAGACGCTCCTTCCAACATTCTGGCATGATCTCTAGTCTCCTGCATCTCCTACCTTCTGTCGCCTGGTTCCTATGTTGTGTGGCTCCTTGAGAGAGGAGAGATACCAAAGGCCCTAAAGCAGTAATATTCTCAGTTTGAGGGGCTGCTAGGAGGCCAGAGTTCTTGGTAGACACTGAGAGACTGGTAGGAATCAAGGGTTGAGAGGTAACAGGCACAGATCACAGGAAGCCATGGTGGGGGGGGGTTGGCTTTTCCTAGGAATGATAAGAGATTACCACTGGAAGACCTGGGGCAGTTGAGTGACATGGTCGAAGTTGTGTTTCATCTAAGTCACCGTAACAGTGAGGAAGTTCAGATGGGGTTTAATGAAGCGAAACCACACTTGCATATTAGAGGCCGTGGGATGGCTCTGCAGGTCAGAGGGCTTGTTGTGCAAGCCTGACAGCTGAGTTTGATCCCTGGAACCCATGTAGGTGAGAGGCTGTCCATGGGTTGTCCTCAGACCTCCATATGCATATGGTGGCATGTACTTCATGCTATATGCTATAATAAATTTAAAATACTTGAGTGGAAAAAGTATTTGTACATGTACAAATCATAATGTGAAAACTACAAAAATGTGTGAAAATGTTAACAACTGATGAATGTAGATGAAAAGCACAAGGTGATGTACTGGGAATTACTAAAATGATTGAAACATACTTCCACCCATCTCTGGCTGTATGTCCCTTGGGAAGTGACAGGGTATTCTGTATTCTGCACAGAGGTGATGGCTGATTCCTGTGGTTCTGATGCCTCAGCATCCTTTGCAGCTACTAGGCATGGTCTTGACAAGCAGCCTGTGGACTGGTTGCATAGTATTTGTAAGGCTTTTACTGTGTACCAAACACTGTACTACATGCTCATGTTCATTAACTCAGCTTCTACCAACTTTATAACGATAAAGAAGCCAAAAGCCACATAGCTCAGCAAAATGCCATTCTGCTCACTGAGCTCCCTTCCCAAGGACAAATGCAGACTGCCGAGAAGGGGAGGAACGGCAGTTAGAGGAACTGCAGCTAGGACTCTGTGTTTCTGGGGAAATGGGGCAGAGTTTCTGTGAAGAACAGATAACCTTTAGGCCCAGTCAAGATTACTGTTGTCTGCCTGGCTAAAATGGGCCCTTTCTTTCCCTCCTGATTTGCCCCTGACCAAGGATCAACTGCCATAGAAAAGGACTTTCTTAATTCTAATGCAACCATGGCTTATATTTTGTTTGTGTTCTGACAAATAAAGCTTGCCTGGAGATCAGAGGGCAGAGCTAGCCACTCGTCAACCATAGAGGCCAGGCAGTGGTGGCTCACATCTTTAATCCAGCACTTGGGAGGAGGAAACAGGAAGATCAGGAGTTCAAGGCCACCTTGGGCTACAAGAGATTGAGCCAGTCTAAAAGAGAAAGAGAGCTGGGCTGTGGTGGCGCACACCTTTAGTGCCAGCACTAGGGAGGTGGAGACAAAAGGTGTCGGAGACAGGATCTCAGCCCCCTATTCGGTCAGAGGATCTGGAGGGGTCAGAGCTGCTGCTCTGCTTCTCTGATCTTTCAGTTTTCACGCTCCATATCCGACTCCAGGTTTTTATTAAGACTAATTAGGATCACACTTTTCAGAAACTCCATGAAAAGATCTGTCTGCCTTGTTATTTCCATCTTTATCTTAAATATCCTTTCCCCAACGTTTCATTGAAATTCTTCAGTGGAGTTCAAACCATAGGAAAATGAACAGCCACGTACTTTTGCCCTTGATTGGGCAATGAGTGTCGTCTTGTGAAATCTGCTTTCTCTCTGTGCCTCTCCTCCAACATCTTTTCTCTCCCAATCAACAACCTCAAAAGCTTCAGGGTTCACTCCAAGTATCTCTGACACTTGTACTTCTATCACCCAGGAACAAGGACACTCTCCTACATAACCCATAACTTCATCAGCCACAGAAAAAAATGATGCTTGAGTCTTGAGAGTGGGCTCAGGTATGCTCTTCCAGAGGGCCAGAGTTCACACATGACAGGCAGTTCGAAATGTTCTGCAACTCCAGCTCCAGGGGATCCAGCACCTTCTTCTGGTCTCCAAGGGTGTACACACACACACACATACACACACACACACACACACACACACACACACACACACACACACACACACACACACAGGCCTTCTCACTGATAAAGGCTTCTATCCCGCATCTCGCCTGCCTCTTCCCGTCTTCAACTGTGACATCACAGCCACACCTCCACAGCCTAGTCGCTCTGCTGTGATAGCTCACTTTTCTTTTAGACATTTTAAAAATTTACGTGTATGGGTGTTGCCTGCATGGTGTATGTCTGTACACCTCTGTGTGTCTGATGCCTGCAGGGGCCGGAAGAGGGTGTTGAGATTCCCCGGAACTGGAGGTTCAGACGGTTGTGAGCTGCCCTGTGGATGCTGGGAACTGAGCTAAGTCCTCTGGGAGAGCAGCCACTGGTTTCCACTGCTCTGGCACCGACTCACCCCGAACCATCCATCTCAAGAGCTGCCTTCTCTTCTCGGTTGCTGACTGGGCAGAGTTAACTGCTGAGCCTTAGACTTGTCCACTCTTGACAGCACAAAATCCCACACTTGTACCGACAAACTTATTTCTCGCATTTCACCACGGCTCTCTTTGGAACATGGTCTTAGGAGTCTTTGTTCCCTCAGTGGCTGGCAGGCCTCTTGGCATGCAGCTGGAGCTTACCAAACTCTTGCCATATTGATTCTTCTTTATGCTTGGCTGAATCACCGAATAAAGGCGCTGGCTACTGTCCAGATGACAGGTCATCCAGGGCGCAGTGAGTCTACTTGCCAGAATAGGCCAGATTTTCTACCAGCCATGCGTTTAGGGTCAACAATGGGTGGGAGGGATCAATCTTGGAGAACCGGATTTTAGATGACTCCAAACACTGGCAGCAGCCAGTGAGGCTGAGAGCAAAGGGCGTGGTCTTACCTGATGGAGGAAGAGGGGGAGTGCTCTTGAGTCCATCTGCTCCACCTCCCCTCGGATCAGCGAGAACAGCGGCTGCAGCGCCGGTGCTGGAGCTTTGGGGGGGTCATTTGCATTCACTCCGGCGGCCTCTTCCCCAACAGCCTGCAACTCTGCAGTCAGTGTCTGCACTAAAGGTCTGGCATCTCCTACAGAACACGAGGAAATGACTACATCAGGCTAGACCCCGTCATGGAGGAATGCTTATAAACTACCACTCCCATTGAAGATAAAACCCAGAAGTCACAAATTACTGTCCTCCTTCAGGTAGCGATTTCTGCAGAACTATAACTGAGGATCAGTAAGAAGGGGCTGAGGAGACAGGTTAGGGTCACCTTTGCTGTGATGAAACACCACCACCAAAAGCAAGTTGAGGAGGAAAGGGATTATTTGGCTTATGCTTCCCATTGCTGCTCATCATAGAAGAAAATCAGGACAGGAACTCAAACAGGGCAGGAATCTGGAGGCAGGAGCTGATGCAGAGGCCATGGAGGGGTTCTTCTTACTAGCTTGCTCTTCATGGCTTGCCCAGCCTGCTTTCTTATAGAACCCAGGGCCAGCAGCCCGTGGATGGCACCACCCACAATGGGCTGGACACTCCCACATCAATCACTAATTTAGAAAAGATCCCACAGTCTTGCCTACGGCCCGACCTTATGGAGGCATTTTCTCAATTGGGGCTCCCTTCTCTCTGATGACTCCAACTTGTATCAAGTTGGCATAAAACTAACCTGCGCTGGGCGGTGGTGGCACACGCCTTTAATCCCAGCACTCTGGAGGCAGAGGCAGGTGGATCTCTGTGAGTTCGAGGCCAGCCTGGGCTACCAAGTAAGTTCCAGGAAAGGCGCAAAGCTACACAGAGAAACCCTGTCTCGAAAAACCACACACACACAAAAAAACCCTAACCTGCACAGACACCCAGTCTCAAATCTCTATCTATCTATAATATAAACTAAGGTGGACAGCAACTGAGGAAGACACCTGACATAGAGGAGTGACCTCCACAATACACACACAAAATGGAGACAACTAGGCAGTGGGACCGAGTCCTGTGTTCATTGCATGAGTTGGCTGTTTGAAACCTGGGGCTTATGCAGGGACGCTTGGCTCAGTCTGGGAGGAGGGGACTGGACCTGCCTGGACTGAGTCTACCAGGTTGATCACAGTCCTTGGGGGAGGCTTTGCCCTGGAGGAGG